CACTGGTCCGACCCCCGTGCAGCGGCGCGAACTAGGTAGTTCGAACTAGGCTTCCTAGTTTGAACTACCATTACTCCTCGTGAAATGAGGAGTAACAGTAGTTCGAACTAGGAAGCGTAGTTCGAACTACCTAGTTCATGCCCCGTGTAGCCGTGCTGCACGGGGTTTGAACCAGCGGGGTTTTAAAAATGGCGGCTCCCCGCTTATGCAAATGAAGCCCGGGAAATTCAAATCCCGGGCTTCATTTGCAAGTGCGGTATGCCTACATTACCCTCCTAGTTCAAACTAGGAGGGTAGTGTAGACATACCCTTATTGATCTCTTCCTTGATGGGGTCCAGGCTATCCATGTTGGGCTTCATGAGCCATGTGAGCAAAAGGTAGGCTGGGTCACCAAGAATCACAATAGGCATTTCTATCTCTCTGACTCTGATTTTCTGGTCTGGGAAAAAAGTTCTAGCGTACATCTTCTGGAAGAGGCAGGAGTTCCAAAAGATGTGTGTGTCATGCACCTTTCCCAACCATCCCTCGTTGATGTCATGAAACAGCCCTTGTGATCCACGAGTGCCTGAAACACCATGGAGAAGTATCCTTTCTGGTTGATATACTCTGAGGCATGGTGTTTGGGAGCCAATATGGGGAAGTGAGTGTTGTCTATGGCCCCACTGCAGTAAGGGAAGCTCATCCCAGCAAAGCCATCTACTAGGGTGTCCATTCCCCCAGATACACAATCCTCCGTAACAGAAGGGTATTGATGGCTTTGGCTACTTGTATGACAACAGCCCCCACTATAGATCCCCACTCCAAATTGATTCCTGACTGACTGGTAGCTGTCTGGTGTGGCAAGCTTTCATAGGGCAATTGGCATGCACTTCATGGTCAGAGCGGTCTTCATGTGAGTGTCCAGGTGCCTGAACACAGGGGAAAGCCATTCACATAGATCCAGGAACATGTCTTTGTGCACGTGGAAGCTCTGTAGTCACTGCCAATCATCCCATATCTGCACCACAATGTGGTCCGACCAGTCTGAGCTTGTCTCGCAATTCTAGAACCAGCATTGCACTGTGTCCAGAGGGTTGATTGGCAGGTGCGCTAGCATGAGCGCCAGGCTTTGCATGAGCAGCACCTCCATGGCACACCGAGCTTCATCCTCCTCCTCCTCCTGGGAGAGCGCCATGCATACCCTCTCAAAGTACTGTGCCATGAGGTGCACCACGACACACACGCGCATGAGTGTGGTTTGCTACAAACTGGGCTCCATGCTTGCAGTGCTCTGGCATCTGCGCAGGTGACCGGGCACAAAAAGATGTGAGCACACTGCCTCCCTTTTCTCTCACGTGAGAGGGAAGGGACTGGAGGAGTGTATTATGGGATGCTGGCATCATGAGTCCCTAATAACCAGCCACCCAGTTTTGATCCTAGTGGCCACCAGAAGCATAGCCCAGACTGTAAATCTACCCATGGTGCATCACTCTCTGAGTCAACCACAGGCTCTCTCATAAGGACACACAACTTTGGACAACAGTTGATTCTTCCCCACAGTGAGGACACAGACCTTTGACTTCTCAAAATCGGGTGGTAAGAAATTTACCTTATTAGATCTGACCTTACCTCATAGGGTAGACATGTCCTAAGATGGCAGCAGTTCACTGCTGTATTTACCTGTACTTCTGCAGGTGTGGGCAATTGCAGTTCCTGTTGGCTGCAGATCACCATTCCCAGTTAATGAGAGCTGCAGGAAGCAGCACAAACCGGGATACCTCATTGCATGGGAACATGGAAGAAGGATTATGTGCATATAATTCATTGAAATATGGTATGTGACACACACAGGTACTATGTGACGAGCACCAAGGTTCCCTCTAAGTTCCTCCTTGCCCCCAAACACTGCTGCCCCTTCCCTATACATGTAAACATGTAACCACTGAAATTTTCAGTGGTTACACATTTACCTAAATAAACACATTTAAACATCCCTGCTCCTGATACTTTGGTCTAGAACTGCAGTGGATTCACTATTTTGTTCACTATTTTGTGTTTGCTCTATAAGTCTAAGGGTATGTCTACAGTGCCACCCTAGTTCGAACTAGGGTGGCTAATGTAGGCATTCGAGCTTGCATATAAAGCCCGGGATTTAAATATCCCGGGCTTCATTTGCATGTTCCCAGGCAGGTGCCATTTTTAAATGCCCGTAGTTCAAACTACCTGCCCGCAGTTACACGCAGCACAGACTAGGTAGTTCGAATTAGGAGCTTTAATTTGAACTACCTAGTCTGTGCCGCATGTAGCCATGGGCAGGTAGTTCGAACGACGGGCATTTAAAAATGGCGCCCGCCCGGGAACATGCAAATGAAGTCTGGGATATTTAAATCCCGGGCTTCATTTGCAAGTTCAAATGCCTACATTAGCCACCCTAGTTTGAACTAGGGTGGCACTGTAGACATACCCTAACAGTGGAAAGAGGAAGTTAATCTCCTTGGTGCAGTAATGATGGTTCTTCGAGATGCATATCCCCGTGGGTGCTCCACTGTAGGTGTTGGGTTTGTCCCGGCACCGCAGATCAGAGTTTTGCGTAGCAGTCTTCAGCCGGACTGCACATGCATGGTCAATGCCTCACGGCATTTGCACTCTTTTGCATAAGCACGTGGTCCGGCTCCTGCCAGTTCCTCAAATCCATCCTAGTATCTGAAAGATATAATAAGATACTCTGGAGCAAGGAGGAGGGCAGGTAGTGGAGCACTCATGGGGACAAACATCTCGAAGAACTGTCGTTACTGCACCAAGATGAGTAATTTCCTCTTCCTCTTCGAGTGATGTTCCCATGGGTGCTCCACCATAGGTGACTGAATAGCAGTACTCTGAGATACCTGGAAGGAGGCTCCCCGAGGCACGGTTTAATTGATGATGAAAGAACTGCTGAGGCTAGTGAAGTGTCTGCAGCTAGTCAGTACATGATTGCATAGAGCTTCATGAAAGTATCATGGGAGGACCATGTGGCTGCTTGGCAAATGTCCTGGAGGGGAACCCCTCATAGAAAGGCTTTGGATGTTGCTACTGTTCTTGTAGAATGAGCCTTTGGCTGAGCTGGAAGCAGTGCATGACGTACAGAGTAACAGGTAGTAATGTAGGAGAGTGAAGCATCGCCTCCTTTGGTGAGGTGTACAACTTAGTATACAAGGAGGGGAGAAAAGGGAGTTACTCACCTTGTGCAGTAACGAGTGTTCTTCGAGATGTGTGTTCCCGTGGGTGTGCCACTGTAGGTGAAGGGTTGCCCTGAGCCGCAGATCGGAGCTTTGTATAGCAGTTTCCCCTGTTGAGCTACGCATGCCCAGGAGGCATCTCGAGCCCTTCCCGCCTCCTGAGGAGCACGGCTCAACCCTCTCCCTTTCAGTTCCTCGTCTCCGCCCGAGAATTTTGACTCCGAGCAGAGGAGAGGTAGGGAGGGTCGTGGAGCACCCACGGGGACACACATCTCGAAGAACACTCGTTACTGCACGAGGTGAGTAACTCCCTTTTCTTCTTCGAGTAGTGTCCCCATGGGTGCTCCACTGTAGGTGACTACAAAGCAGTATTCAATGTAAGGCTGGAGGGAGCCGGAGTCATAGTTTAGCAGTGGTAGAGAGTACTGCTGTGGCAATTGCTGAATCACTCTTGAGTTGTGGAAGGATAGCGTAGTGTTTAGCAAAAGTATGGTCTGAAGACCATGTTGCTGCCCGGTAAATGTCTCTTAAGGGGACATTGCCGAGAAAGGCTGTAGAGGCAGCCATGGCTCGGGTGGAATGCGCTCGTGGTGGGCGCTGTAGCCGTCTATTGCCTAGAGAGTGGCACTTGATTATACATGTCAAGATCCATTTTGAGATTCGTTACGATGATATTGGTGCCCCTTTTGATTGTTCAGCGATGGAAATAAAAAGTCTTTCAGATTTACAAAATGGTTTTGTTCTTCATAGGAAGAAGGCCAGAGCCCTCCGGATGTCCAGAGTATGCAGGGTGACATCTCTCTGAGAAGAGTGTGGTTTCAGGAAGAAGGTCGGTAATACGATTGGTTCGTTGATGTGGAATTCCGTACAGACCTTAGGCAGGAACGTTGGGTGGGGTCTAAGTATGACCCTAACCTTTGTGAAAACTGTGTAAGGGGGTTCTGACATTAGTGCTGCAAGTTCACTCACCCTTCTGACGGAGGTGATGGCTAAGAGGAAGCAGACTTTCATGAAAAGGAAGGGAAGTGGTATTGTTGCCAATGGTTCAAAGGGAGGTCTGGTCAGGTAGTCCAAAACAAGATTTAAGTCCCACAAAGGGGGTGGGGCTTTATATGGTGGATACACATTTTGGAGTCCCTTGAGGAACCTCTTTGTGATAGGATGGATAAAAATGGAGAAGCTGTCCACCGAGGTATGAAATGCTGCTATTGCAGAGAGATGTACTCTTAGAGAGGAAATTGACAGTCCCGATGTTTTAAGGTCCATAATGTAATC